GAGAGAGAGAGAGAGAGAGAGGGCAGATCCTGGCTGCAGGCTGACAGAGGACTCTGTTCCACTCTGCCTGCAGAAACAGGCTGGTAGTGATCCATGTTACTCCTGACTTATCCCCACAAACCTTCTCGTTGCTGGCAAAGAAAACCCTCTATTACCTTTGACCCTGAAGCTGCTTCTCCCCAACTTCTGTTCCACTGGAAGAAGTAAATCCTTGCGGTCCCAAAGGTGCCAAAGCTTCCCTTATCTCTGCTGCCTGTAGAAACAAAACCGTGTTTTGGTTCTACAGGGATGGAATCACAAGCCATGAAAAAAGGTTCCAAAACTATTACTGTGATAATCCTGTGTGGGTCATTAGTTGTCTTTAGCCATTTTTATTGGTACTTAGCTTACTGTCATGAAACAAAGTCCATTTTTATTGCATAGTGTAGTTACAAAATTTTACTCTTTGCAGCCCTGTATAACTTTCACAGGAGATTTTAGTAATCCTACAACTGTTACAGACATAGGCAAGCAGCTATTTGTAAAAGAATAGTTCAGTGAGGACAATACCTGTTCACGTGGTTGTTGCTGCTTGTCATCTTCTTTCAGTTTCTTCTCCAGCTCCTCAATTTGCCTTTGTATTTCTTCCTTCTTCTGTGCTATGGCTTGCATTTCCTCTAAGGAAGAAAAGCTTGTAAGGCCCAATGCATATTTAACATACAATTGGTGGCTAAAGCCTAAATTATTTGTAAAGGGGTCTTTCCCTGTTCCACAGCTTGAATGCAAAGCTGTCAGATATGTTACTGTCTGTGTACCTTTGAGCAGTTAAACAACTCTTCCAGTAGAAAAAGAAAAGCAGCTGCAATAACAGAGAGCAGCAAATACAATGTTATGATCCCATCTCTGAAAGCCTTACTTATTTCAGCCCATTTTGAAACACACCTTCAGTTTTCTTTTTCGCTTTCTTCCTGTAGATTTCAGCTCGAATCTCTTCCAAAGAGAATTCATCGACTCCAGCATAAACCTTGTCCTTGCAGTACATCACCATCTCCCTCTGCTCCTGAGTGTCCTGCTGATGGTGCTGCACTCGCTGCAGCGGGTCCTCCTTCTCAGGTTTGCGAGCGCTCAGCACGTGGTTTATGCTGGGCTCGATTTTGCACGGAGTCCTGGAAAACCGGGAATTTGTTACTGGGGCTCTGCGGAACTTCACTGTAGCACAGAAAAGCAGGCACAGGAGACAACAGGGCTGATTTCAGAGTCTGGTTGTGGAACAGTGTAAAGACCTTATGATCTGTTGTTAGAAAAAATAAAGCAGAAAACTGGGATGACAGCAGATGAAAGGCCAGCATACAACTCCAAACGGGGTAATAAATAAATAAACCAAAACAAACAACAACAATCCCAAACAGTTAATAAGGTCCAGTCACAATTCCTTAGCGTGAAAGGGCTTTCTCAAAGCCCAGTAATGTCAGGAGAGAGGAACCAGCACTGGTACAGCTTTACAGGCAGCAGCATTCCAGCTGGACTGACTCAGCTGTGCCTCAGTAAAAGATGACCTGAACAACTGACCTTAAAAACTGGTTAGCTGTGGTCTGGGTAAGCAGATCCAGAGAAAGCCCCATGCACAGCTCCAAGACATCCATTTTGGTCTGCGTGTGAAGGGACTCCCAGCCCTTTCACTATATGGGAGATCATGAGGCAAAGAGGTGCTTCTCATGTTTGGGTTTTTAAAGCTTTTTTGGGGAATCTGGAGGCCCATTACCAAGATCACTACAGGGTCCTTCTGCCCAGACCTCTGGATGACAGCTGAGGGCATGGTTTGCATCATGTTCACAGTTTCAACACTACACTTTCAGACATGATTTGGCTGGTGACCATGGTATCATGAGGAAATGGACTCCAAGGCAGAAAAAAAAATAAAAATCTACTTTTAAACATTCAGCTGCATTATATAAAACTGCATACAAAGTCTCTGCCTGAGTTGCTTAGAGCTAATTTACATAATGTTCAGTTCCACCCACTCCTTCCCTCTCCCTGGGATAAAAAGCTAAAGTAAGTAACAAATCTTCATCTCAGAGACCAGCATGCCAAGAGATTTCATTCTGTGGTATCACTAACTTTCAGGAGAAAGAAATAGTTTAAACAGAAATTTATTTTTTTACAGATTCTTCAACCCAACTGTGGCATGTCCTTGGTCAGAGCTATTCTGCAGTCCACATGGAACATACAAAACCCACAGGGAAAATCCATGCTGTTCACCACGTCTCAGCAGCCTTTGATTCTATGCAATTCAGAGCTGTGGAAACTGCAATACCAAATTGTCTTTTCCACTTCTCTCTCAGGAAGAGCCTGTGTATTCCCTGGCCATCATTAGCCATAGAAAGGTAGAGCAACTTTGCAAAAAAAAGTCCTCTGCTCTAACAAAACCACCCCATCTCCTGGGATTTATTAGAATTTCAGGGAGACTGCACAAGCAGGAAGGTAATTTCAGGCAAAGCAGCATACTCACTCCTCCACGACCTAAGCAACACTGTTGTCATGGCAACTCTGATAGCTTGTTTCAGAATAAAACTCCAGATATGCTGAGCACAGAGCTCCCAAGACAGAAAAACAGCCCTAAGTCCGCCTCAATTTGAGGCTGTTCCACAGCAAAGGGCACCCTAAGACAGGGACCTGTGGGTTTGTGCAAACACACCGAGATAAGCTATTAGACTAATTAGCACATATAAATATGACATGGGCTCCCACATCACGAGCAGTGCTGGCTGAACACTTCCCATGTCCTTATGCAACCTCTGCTGGAGCCTCTGCCATCAAGCTGCAGCACTGATTGCTTCCAGGCTGATGGATTTTTAAATTCCTGTAGCTCTAGAGGCTTGACTACTTGGCAAAACAAGTCAGAATTTTAGGAAAGAGCTTTTAGAGTTCCAAAGGCAGTTCCCATCTCCAGCTCAAGACTCACATCATTTGAGGCTGAGCTGACTCGTCCACGTAGGGGGTGAAGCTGGGCAGGGGGCCGGGCACTGCCACGCCAGGGTTGGAGGCGCTGCGGCTGCGCGGACGCTGAGGGAGGAAGGGCACCGTTAACAGCTGCAACATTCATCTGGGCACTCCACACCTCTCTGGACTCTGCACCTCCCTTTTCCTGCTGTTCTGCTCGTTTGGAGGGTTTGTTATATAAAAGAATTAAACCTAATAGACTTTTCCAAGATTCTTGCCATTCTGACACAGAAATAGTTACAACCCATCAGCTGAACACTGGCTCCTAAAAAGCAAGACACTCCTCCCACGTGACCTCACCATCCCAGTTTCTGCTATTCTGAAGGAATATTATATGTATACACATATATAGAGAGAGGGAATGTTATTCTGGTCAAGGTGGGTATTCCAGTTTCTCTTTGTCTGTTTTCCACAGATGCTTCAGTCCTCATTTTCCAACTAAACTTGTCCCAGTTGTATTACAATATTCCTTCTCCTGTCAACCAAGGACCTTCACACTTGGGGGTTTCAAAATTTTCCTTTCAGAGGCCGTTCCAACACCACAAAAATCCCTTAACTGTTTCTGAGGTCCATTACTTAAGAGAACAGAGTTTAGTCTGACAACACACTCCTCTCATCTGCTGATTTGAACTCCCTGTGACCCTTCAGCACAAGAAGTTTCCCAAACTGTTTACTCAGCCATCTTCACATCAGCAATTAGAGAAGCTTCTTTCCTCTGTGCAGGTTTTAATATCTCAAAGCCTTCACCAAAGGTTATTCCTTCCCTACCCTTGAGTGAAGGGGAATTAAACATCCTCAACTCTTCTTCTAGTAGCAGGATATTTTATTTTATTTTTTTTAATTAAATCTAACAAATTTCATTAAGGGGAGAACAGAGAGAATTCTAAGGCCAGACATTAAAAGATATACAGAAGCATTTGGACACCAGAATGAATGTGTTCAGCAGCCCTAAGCAACTGATAAAAGAAGTTCTACATTAATAATTCCTCCTCATTCTTCTCAAGCTAAATTAAACCTGTGATTTACTGAACTTTTCCGTTCATTTAATCAAATTGCTTTGTATCTGGGAGTAATATTCCTGGAGTTCCCCTGAATTTCAGCCTATTTGCATACCTCCCCTCATCCTGGCTTTTGTTCCTAAGCTTCACTTGTAACAACTTCTATATTGAGAAATCTAAAATATTTTTATCACCTGATTACTTTCTGTTCTTCCTCTCGAAGGTACAAAGAACGGGGGAACACTGGGAGTTATCTGAGCACCTAACAACAAACTTCATTTGGCAGGATTAATTCCCTTCAGATAATGTCTTGGATCTCTTCCCTAGAAGAGCTAAAACACCTGAGCACAGCTCTTTCTTTTCCTGTCTCCTGCATTAGTTTAAACCACTGGAACCTACTCTCTGTCATCCCACTGTCAGGATAAATATCCCACTGATACAGCAGTTCTGCAATTCTTTTGATCTCCACTCTGCTGTTTTCCTCACAAGCACTTCAAAACAGATGTGCAGAATGCTGCACATGCCTTATTTTTGTAAGGCAGGCAACAAGTTCTTCCTTCAGGTGGTATTTTACAATATAATTTGACTCTTACTCTTCCTTCTCAGAGAATCCCTCTTACATTCCTTTTCTGACCTCCAAACAGCTTGGCAGGGCATCTCTACCAATTTTTCTAGTTTGCAAGAAATATAATTACTTGATATAATAATTCTAGAGAGTTTTTTAAACTTCTTCTAGTAATTTCAGCTTGCTAAACTTGAATAGGTTATGCATAGCCAGAGAGTCTTCGGAAGGAGAGGGACTGTTCACAAGGGCCTGGAGTGATAGGACAAGGGGGAATGGCTTTCAGCCCAAGGAAGGTGGGTTTGGATGAGATATTGGGAAGGAATTCCTCCCTGTGAGGGTGCTGAGACCCTGGCACAGGTTGCCCAGAGAAGCTGTGGCTGCCCCATCCCTGGAAGTGTCCAAGGCCAGGCTGGACAGGGCTGGGAGCAACCTGGGCTAGTGGAAGGTGTCCCTGCCCATGGCCAGAGGTGGGATTGGCTGAGCTCTAAGGTCCTTTCCAACCCAAACTGTTCTGGGATGCTATGATTCCGTTATAAAATCTGTATTTACTAATAGACACAAACCCCAGGCAAGGGAGAAAGACATGACCTTTGTCTCAGAGATCAGAAGTCATCAGCTTACATACACCTTCCTCTCTTTTCCCAGTCTATTTCGAGATTCCTTACCTTGCCAGAATTCCAAGGTCCTGCACTGAGTTCATTCTCCTTGGCCCTGGGAGCTGGAGGTGCTGTCCATGACTGTGCTGTAAGCGTGGGAATCTCGTCTACAGAGGCTGAATTTTCATCAAACACAGCAAAACCCGGAGTATTTGAAAGCTGCAGAGAAGTCTGAGGCATGAGGCTTCTGTTTGGGTTCGTGACTAAAAGCAAGAAGATTTATGCAAATTAACCTTTAACGATCACATTCAATTGCAAAGTCCACAACAAAAAGACGAAACTCTTCCAACAACAGGTGGTTTCAGCTCTTGAATGTACCTTTAACTGCATCTCCCACACGACTAATGGGCGCTCTCACTTTTTTCTTCCCCCTGCCTTTGAGATCTGCCAATGAGCTTCTCTGAGGCTCTGCAATTTCCAGCAGACCTGTATCTTTTCCATCTGGACTTTCCTCAAGTGCCAGCAGTGCCTGCCGAGAAACGCGGGCCTGAAACTGCCTAGAAAAACATCGGACAAGTCAACATAACCTTCTACCAGGTACCCTGGGAAGCACCTCGGAGTAAGCTGTTCCCTCACCTGTGATGGGACTGCAGTTTGTCCAAAGGCTCAGCCCTGCGCTGAAGCCCTTCCTGGAATATCAGATCTGCTTTCCTGAAGTTCCCTCTGGCCTCCAGTGCCTCTGCCCAGGTGATGTAGAGCAGTGCCAGCGTGGTGCCAATCTCCTGGCTGCACAGGTAACTGTACAGATCCAAGGGCTCGTGACAGCAATTGCCCTGAAACAAGCCCAGGTCAGTAACCCCACTGGATTGCAAAGGAGTCCAAGTCAGAAATCTGCATTCTGATGCCTCCAGCAAGACCCCCCTGATTTCAATACAAGTCTGAGAGGAGCAGCTGTAAGGCCAGGACATGCAACCATTTCCTAGATTTTTTTTTTTTTTTAATCTGAGGTAATTCAGTGATTGACCTATGTCATATTAGCATTCCTGAGAACAGTTATTTCAGCTTTAGGTAAAGTACAGCATATTCCTTGCCAGTTTTGGAACTGGTAAATCAGCTCAGGAAGCTAAACCTGGAGAAAAGCTGCTTTAAAAAGATGAGAACAACAAAAATTACAGCAATGGAGAGACAGGGAAGGACCAGAACATGCTCAGCTTGGTTTGGCTCAAATACAGGATGTGGATACAAGACAATAGAAGCTAAAGTAACTGGTAGGGCAGATATAACACCTAAAATATATCTTTAAATCACTTCCCTTTCTCTT